AAAAAAATGTTATAATTTATAATTATTATTTTAATTTTTTAATTTATTAATTAAATTATTTTATAATATATATTTTTATTGTATTAATTAATAGTATTTTTAATTGTATTTATTTCAGGTATAAAACCTTAATAAAAGGGGAAAAAATACTTGATTTAAAATGACCACATAATTATAATTGATGTAGCTACAAATTATAATGTCATCATGTATGTATTGATCTCATCCAAGTTAATAACACTTGTTTAGATTCTTTTCAAGTGGTATGAAAAATCCCTTCGTTTTTCCTTTCGGCCACAAGTTGGCTTCTCAATATACATCTCAAAGGAAAATGGCTGGTGGCATCAAAGCTAAACAACAGGTTTACGGATTGATTTTAGTCTGTCCTCTAATACTGATCTCTCCTTAAACAAACCACCTCAGCCACTGATCTGTCAAGGATGTATTAGTTATAGTGCTGTGGCTCTGGCCTGAACATCTGGAGAACTTTCATCTACAATTCGTCATTCTTCTATTTTTAATGTTAGTGGGAAAACCGTGGACCAAAGTCCTTGAAATTCTTGTTCATTCAAAGTATTGCACAATGTATTAGATGTGAAATATCCGGTAAGTCTCTTTGTCCAGCCAAAGCACTTTCACAACAACAAAAGATACTGGACATATTACTGGACATAAGTTTATTTTTCTATCCTAAATATACAAGATTATATACATTTTTATTTAGCATTTTTCTCCATCTGTCCATGACTAAATATGTACCTTGATTAAAAGGGTGTCCGGTACACTTTTCTTTTTAGCCCTCCTCACAGTTCTTGTGTGTTACCAGTGACATGTAACTATGGAAATGGTGGTTGCCAACACACATGCGATGACACCGACGTGGGGCCCGTGTGTGGATGTCATCAGAAATATGCCCTGCATTCGGACAGCAAGACCTGCATTGGTAAGTCGCTCTCTCTCATACACACACACACACACACACACACACACACACACACACACACACACACACACTGCCGTTTAGCTCTTCTAGCAAAGTTCTTCACAGAAACCTTGGCCTCGTCATATTTACACAATGAGCACAGGGGAGAGAGTGAGGTGAGTGAGCTTTACCAGGGTTATAAGTGCAGGGCTGTTTCTGACAGATTGGACAGAATGTTTGTTGAAGGAGTTTTTGTAGGCCGGCCGAATGGTCCATATCACAGTTTCCGCACTGAGGGTCCCGGTACGCTGCGGTGAGAGGGTGCATTGGGTACGGCTAACCCCAAAGATTGGCCTCACGTCTCAAAGACGAGCACCCCACATCGCAGCCCATGTGGCATCCAGGAACGAACTACTTCCTTGTGGTTCGAGACTCTATAAACATATGCATTGTAGCGTCCTCCAGTCATGAAGCAAAGGCATAGTTCACCCAAAGATGAAAATTCTGCCATTATTTACTCACCCTCATAATATGCCAAACCTGTATGACTTTTTGTCTCCCGTGGAATATGAAAGGAGATTCGCACATCTCTTTCCATACTGTGAAATCAATGAGTGGAGGCTGTTGAGCTACAAAAGTAATATAAAAGCACCATAGAAGTTACAAATCATAAAAGTCTCAAATCTAATTTTTGTTCACCAATAAATCTGGTGTGGTTTTAAAGCACAGTGTTTAATGTGCACAAATGCAAATTATATTTGCATATAATTTTATAGTGTTTTTTTTGTAGGTATGCATGATAAATGGGATATACTGCTTTTTATATTTGTGCATGCTCATTGCAGCATATTTCTACATTTAGATTGCCTAAGGCTCAAAGTTCAATAAACATGAATAATTTATGAATAGTTTCATAACACTATTAAATATAATCTTTATTTTAGAAGGACTATTCATTTTTGTACTGTAGATTATAATGTTATAATGACAATATTCGTATATTCGTAACATATATGTAGCAAAATCATCAGTATCAGACAAAATTTTAATATCAGTGCATATGGCGTATGTACCTTTTTTGTAGCTTTACAGCCCCTGTTTTCATTCACTTTTATAAGATGTATAAGAGAAGTGTAACTATTTTGTCTAATAAAGCTACTAAAATGACCCAAAAAATGCTCTCTAATGAAATGTGCATACATTTAAATATGACTTGACAGGTTTGTCGTTAGTAATGATGACGAGAAGAGAAAACTTACAGATTGAGCTCATGTTTCATGTTTCATCTGCAAATCCCAGCCCATGTGGCATTCATGAGAGCATCAAATCTGGATGGCAGTGATTTCCAATGCTTGCTTTAGCAGTTAGCAGCTAATTCAATGATGGAAAAGCCTATTAGTTTTGACACTCAGGGAGCGACACCGCTAATTTGGTCATTCGTCTTCTCGTCTGGTTTTCATGCTCTCATTGTCTCACGCACACAGCTCCATGCGACTATTAGAGCAGAAAATGAGACTTCTGCTGTACCTTTGCTCTAGTGAAAGTACATAAGGATGGGTTGGGTGAGAGAGAGATGTGTGTACTTGTGTCGGTTTGGGAAGATGAGCTCGATGATGGAAATTTCATCGCTGAACTCTCTATGTGCAAAACACATTCATCATCCTGATAATGGTGGAAAAGCCAATGGAGTTCTGCCACATTTGCAGAAAGGGAAAACTTTATACGCCATGCGGGTGCGGCTGCATCCAGGGGCAATACTTCAGAAATGAAGAGGAAAAGGGGTTTTCTTTCTTTTTCAGCTGCAGGTAAGTTTAATTTTCATGCTTGTTTTCTTAGGGTGAACCTCATGTCCTCTGCGATGTTTGACTGGCTTTTATGTGTTGTTGTGCCAGTGTGTGTGCATGAGTTCCAAAGAGCATCGTTTATGTCATTTGGCTCTCACAAGCCTTTGCTGTTTCCTCAATGAACTTGCTGAAACTGTAGGCCAGCTACCACATCATTAGCTGATGAAAGTTTCTTCCTGTTACGAGACTACATACGCCCCAAGTTTAACATTTAGATCAGTCGTTATCATTACTCAAGGTGTGCGTAAGCATAAAACCTTCCAGACAGTGTGTGTGCACATGAGCTGGGACTAAAACGTTGCAATGAGGAGATTGAGACTTTGTAGTTGGCAGGTGGGTTTAATGGGCTCAAATGGGCTTGTGAGCAAGTGAAGGGTCATCAGAAGAGCACAGGAAACACATTTACATGTCTTTTATCGCACCGCAGTGTGAGTGTGACCAATCAGATCCTCACACTCAGATATTCCAAGATCTTTAGTGACATTAAAAGTGTATTTGAAGGTGCACTTTGTTTATGTTGTGCCAGTATGTCAGTCATCTTGAACTTAATGGCATGGATGCAAATGCACAAATGCCTTATTTATAATTAGGCATGATTGAGTTTTACACAAGCTAAATTGTCCAGCGGGATGGTTACAGAGATAAAATAAGTACTATTTGGCTGGTCACGTGATCTCAAAATGGTGACCATTGTGAGGTGGCTTGTAGAGTAAAACAGCTTTTATTATGCAATTGTTTTGACTTAATCTCATGTGGTTGTACGTATTTTTCTTCTACTATTTAAGATTTTTTTGTACAAAATATTTTAATGAAAGGAAAACTGTGCACCGTTTGAAGGGATAGTTAACCCCAAAAAGGAAAATGTCATTGCAAACCTGTATGATTTTCTTTCTTCTGTGAATTAATAAAATAATATATTTGAAAGAACTTTTTTTGAAATAAAAAGTAAATAGGGTCCACTGCTGTTTTGGACCCTTTAAAGGTACATATTAGTACCTTTTAAAAGGGAACCGCCTCAGTGATAGCTTTTGTACCTTTTTTCTGAGTGTGTGGGAAAAAAATGTGATCTTTCAAAATATCTTCTTTAGTTTCTTGCAAGAAAGTAAGTCAGTCATTTAGGTTTGCAACGACATGTGGGTGAGAAAATGACTGAATATTGATTTTTGAGTGAACTATGGCTTTAAATAGTTAGCTTTTTAGCAATGAATATGAATCTGTTAAGCAGCTATTTTTTTTATGGTTGTATACACACACTTCCATTGGCCACAGGATCATAAGCACAAAATTGTGTTTTGTTGTACCTGCTGATTGCCATACACTGGATTGGTTCTTCTCTCTCTGGCAGCTTAGAGCCCGGAGCAAGCTCTCTCCCATCAAACTCAATCAACTTTTCCTTTCCAGCCTCCACGGAGCAACACCAAACGGCCGCAGGGACCAGAAGAGGAGTGTAGAGACTGCTCCCACCCCATCCCTGTCTCCCCTCTCCTCCTTTCTTCCTCCTCCTCCTCTACTTCTCTCTCTGTCTCTTTGGACCCTTGCTGTGGTCTGTGTGTTTAGCGCTCCTTTAGGATCCCCCTTTCGCTCCCGTATGTGCCGTGTCTCATGGGCTTCCTGCTCTTCCTCCTGCCTCTCTGGTGAAAGTTACTGATTGCCTGTCTTGTCTGCAATTTAAAGGGTGATTCTGACTGGAATAAAGAGGTTTATAAGCAAATCTACTAACGAATGCAAGAAAGAAAGGGTAAAACGGGTTAAACGCACCTCTCAATTGCAGCCTGATCAACTGTAGCGCCCCCACCAATCAGAAAACAGCATCCCCTCTGACCAGCCAATCTGTACACCAGTCCTGCCCCCTGCCTGACCCTCTGAAATCATCCAGCCAATGGCATCTCCTCGTCCTTGACCCCCTCCCACAACAAGCATGAACCAACCCCATCTGCAACCTTGAATAAAAAGAGTCGCTAAACAATGCAAAACTGGCCTCCACTCCACTTTCATCTGTCACTCTTTTTTTCATTTAGAGCGTTTAGAGCTCTCTCCTCCTCATGCTAGTTGCATGTTTTCCTTCTCCCTGCACTCTCGCTTTCTTCTTATCGGCTCACTTCCTGTCCTCTCACACTAACGCACGAGCTGTCATTCGCCTGCATGGTTTTGTCAGTGTGAAATTTCTTTCTATTCCGTTGTTTTCCCTTCTTTATTGGTAAAAAACATTAATAGTAACCCCTCTGTGCTTTTTTATGGTTACTGTAGTCACATTAGAGGTAGTGGATTATTGATAAGTTTGTCTTTTGCTTATTTAATCATTGTTTCTGTGACATCGCACTCACTCCAACCTCTGATTGGTGGAGTCCTCTAAATGGGGCCAGTCAGAGCCAAGTCTGTATACATGCAAATCATAAACACACAAATAGTACAGACAGATTTCTATAAACATGTGCACCCAACGTTATTCTAGTGTCCTCCAGTCTGTGACTGAAGACGGGAGGACAAACAGACTTTCAGTGCCTGATCTTAAAGGGAGTGTTCACCCAAAGACATTTACTCTTCTTCATATTGTTCCAAACCTTTTTGATTTAATTTCTTCTGTGCAATGCAATAGAAGATGTGGAAAAAAGAGGAAGAATGTTCATGCTGCTTTTCTTGCGTACAATGAAAGTAAATGGGGACAAATGCTGTCAAGCTTCAAAAACAACAAAAAATCACAAAAAATCTAGTCACAGGTCTCAATTTCGATGCGTAATTTTTGAATTTATGCAAACGCAAATAAGATGACTTTCAGCAAATAAAGATTTATCATTTGGTCTGTTCCTTACACAAAGTTATCATACGGCATCAAAAACTTTGAACTCGTACATTCAAATATGGCACATCAAGACGTATGTCTTTGACATTAAACCTGGCATGACACATCTTGATGCACCATATTTGAATCTATGCAAACAAAAATAAGATGATTTTCAGCAAACAAAAACTTATGTCTTCAGAAGCCTACAAATATTGTCAGACGGGCTGCATTTATGGTGCGTTTTTTAGAGCTTGACAGTCTCATTCCCCTTTCGTTTAACAGAAAAGAGCAGTGTGAACATTTTGTTTAGTATCTACTATTGGGTTCTACCAAAAATGAAATTCAGACTGGTTTTGGAACGGAAATAATGAAAGAACTGTCATTTTGGGGTGAACTGTCCCTTTAAGGCAGACGTCCACATCCTGATTGGCCCTTCTTGCCTCCACCCATTCAGGATTTGCTCCCTTCGGCCCAGAACCCCGCCCCCTTACACTCTAACACTAATCCTGTGCTTGTATCTGCATGCTCGGAAGCCATTACCGTCCTCACGACATGCGCCCGGCCGTTCCCTACACTCGGAAAGTGGTTTTCTGCATTGACTCGACTGTCAAAGCCAGTTGTAATATGTGTTCCATAGACAAACAGGCAACCAGCGCTGCCCCAGACTCTTTCATTCATCCACCTCTCGGCATGCCCCACCTTCCTCTCATGGATCCCACCATGAGACCTCCATCCTTCTCATGTCATCCTCCTTTCAGCTCTTCCTCTGTCACTGAGTGTGTCCTTTCTGTGTCCTGTTTTGTCATCATCTCATGATCATGCAGTTTGACTTGTATCCATCCTTCCCCTTCTGTTTCTGCATCTCTATCTCTCTCTCGCTCTCCCTCCTCCACTGCTTGTCCTCTCTGTTGCTGAGGTAAACAAGTGGCCGTTTGATATGGAAGACGAACTACAACGGAAACAGCATCTTACTGTCAATCTCAGTCCCTCCCGTCCAATCCCTGTCCACCTTTTGTTAAGCTCCTCCCACATTCCCATGTTCGTTTTTTTCCCTCATTTCGGGAGATCTTGATATTCTTTAATTTGTTCATGTGATTAACACTAACAGGGTTATTTGCACTTCTTCATGGCTTTACGCCTCTTGGCTTTGGTTTGGGCTCAAACGCCAATGGTCAGGCAGCCCGCGTCCCGGCGTCTACGTCCACGTCAGCGGGGGCGTGTCGCCAGAGGCGGGTCGGCCTGTAGAGGGGCTGTCTGTGCGGGCGATGGACATTGGGCTTCTCATTAACCTACTCCTCCCTGTTTGTCCCCTGTCACTTGTGTTTTAGAGAAAGATGAGGCTGCAATTGAGAGCTCTGAATTCAATACCACGTCAGTAGCTGATGTGGACAAGCGGGTGAAACGTCGTCTACTTATGGGTAACTCTTTTCTTCCTCTTTCTATGTGTTGCCATGGCGCTTGTACTTCTACCCCCTCCTTTCTTTCTGTCCTTTAGTTTGTTTGAGTTGCTTTGCTTTCCTTTGCCCCACCCCTGAGGTCACTAGTTCGATATTTCTGTGTCTGACCCTACTACAAATTAGAGAAATGTCCCTTCAAACATGACAAGATTCCTTTTGCACTCTCCTCAAACTGTCTTCGATGCCGTCGCCTCTTCTCTTTGACAAAACAACACGACTAACAACTGACCGCTTCCATCCACTCCCGTTTCCAAAGACGGCAACAAAAATGACACTGGGTTTCTCTACACTGGATAGTAAACCAATCCTCGCTTTTCCAGTTGAACGTTTCACTGTATGACTTCAACATTAGGCCAGTTTTAGACAGTGATTAGTTGAACTGGAGGAACATTTGTGGGCTGAATACTGAAAATAATGGCAGGATAATTTTATGGAAGAAGAATGACATGAGGGTTGGTTCAGACCGTTCCACATCATAGGATGCTGTGGGCTGTGGTGAACCGCAGCGGAAGATGCCTGACATCATTTTTTACGCTCTATTAATAGTATGTGTTCTAAAAAATTAAACATTGGCATTTATCATCTGCCCGCATTTACCCTCTGTCATCTGCGCTCCATAAACTTAGTGTCTGTAAATTTGTTCACCATTAAGAGTGTTTCTATTCTCCATGCTCTCCCTGTTTTAAAGTCAACATGAAATGCCAAACCCATTTTACTTTCATACTTGCGCTTTTCTAATTGAGTCGAGCTTCAATTAGAAAAATGTAGGGTTTGATTTTATCAGTTGAGCATTGATTGGTCATGAAAAATGGGTGTTAAATACCAAAATACTTTTTGTACAATTTTTTGTGATTAATATGAAAAAAATTGTAATGCACCACTACTTCGAATTGGCTGGAAAAATGGTGTAATTCATGACCCTTTAACAGAAAAAGAAAGTCATACAGACAAAGCAAGTTATTCTATTGGATGCCTTTTTCTAACAATAATACTGTGCATTGATGAATTGCTCACATTAAGACCAAGAACGTATTAAGAAAGTAAATAGGTCAACTTTGGTTTCATGTTGACTGTAATGTGTCTTTAATAGAAGAATGATCGTTTCCAGGGTGCCGAACAGAAATGCAGAATAAAGTTTTGGTTTCCAGTCCATCTGCTACATTTAGCTCTCCTAAGAGAGAGAAGATAACTCACACAAACTCAAATCCCTGAAATATATCAGCCATTTAGCCATTTGTCCTTGAATTCATGAACCAACATTCAGTCCAGTTTTCGGTTCATACATTTCTCACTACCGATTGCTTTTGACAAATTTAGGTACACCCAGGAACCTGATGATGCATACATTTCTTTCTTTCAATCTTTATCACCTTCCTTCTTTCTCTAATAATACCTGAAATAGTGTATTTGGTTTATGACAGTACTTTCTCCTCCCTGTAGTACTGTAGCTGTGTTGAAGAAAGACAAAAGGTTAACCCTCCTTTGCTTCTCCCTCATTTCAGTTTGAGTTTGCTGCCCCCCTTGAGCTGATATTTAATTATTTTCTTCCCTGTAATGTGTTTCTGTTCCTTTTTTGCATCCTACAATGCCTAGGAATGTTTTATGGATGGGCTGGAGCTTTTTTAAGTTATTTTCTTATTTTTGTATATGATCTCTATGCTCTTTTTGTAACATTGTCAGAAACGAGACCGGGGTCCAATAGCAGGTGAAAACAAATTCCAAGTTTATTGAAACTGTGAATCAAAAAGTCAATAAAAGAGGGGCGGGGTGAACACCAGGATGACAGCAAAGCACATGGCAAGCCGTCAAAACAAAAGGCCATGTGCTCCATGATAACAAAGCCCAAGTAGACCCCACCGAAATCGTGACAATGGTACCATTTGATATTCAGCAGATCTACAGCCTGAAGGAAACATCAATTTCTTAGTTCAAACACACCTTTGTAAAAAGGTGCAAATGATACTTAATGTATCAATTAAT